GATGTTAAGTAAGTCCTGAGAAATAAATAAACTTCTAAATATCTGGCTTGGGAAAAAAGGAGATTGAAGCACTTTTGAGCAGCTTCATATCTAAGTTCTATGTAGGAAAATAAAGAGATTGGATAAACAAGTTTATTTGTAAGGTATATTATGACTAACTCACTTGATAAACTGCAACAAAGTCAGTTCTGAAACTTGAAGCTGTTTCAGACCTCTGGAAAAGCTCAATAATTGGATATAGATAATGGTTATTGCTGAGTAACTGCCAACAGTGAATATAGGCATTAACTTAATTCTAAGGTATTGTAATACAAATGTAAGGACTCATTAACATTTCAAATCTTGTCAAAAGCCTTGAGATAGAGTATCTGACAGATAGACTATGGCAGTGGGGAGCAAAATGAAGCAATTATGACTAAGATTTTGAGAGAGGGTAAGGGGGATGAAAATAGAAGGGAGAGGGGAAGAGAAGGGGGAGGGGGGGAGGAGGAGGGAGAGAGAGAGAGAGAGAGAGAGAGAGAGAGAGAGAGAGAGGGAGAGAGAGACAGAGGGGAGGAGGAGGAGGGAGGGAGAGAGAGACAGAGAGGGGAGGAGGAGGAGGGGGGGGGAGAGAGAGAGAGAGAGAGAGAGAGAGAGAGAGAGAGAGACCAGAGCCAACACTTGGGATACAGGGATGACAATTATTGTTAATTGTTTCTGTGTATGACCCTAAAACAGAACCTGGAAAAATGTATGATGTACTTTTTAAAATTTTTTGGTCTTTTTGAGACAGGGTCTCCCTGAAGCCCCAGCTTCAGGATCTCACTATGTAGACCAGACTGGCCTTGAACTCACAGAAATCTATCTGCCTCTGCCTCCTAAATGCTGGGATTAAAGGTGTGAGAACCTGGGAAAATGTATGATGCACTTTTAAGGCATTCATGAGCACATAATAGTGACATTTTTTTTTTTTACTGGGCTTGAAGTATTTACCTACATGTGTCTATTAACTCAGAAGATGGGTCCTATTATTGCCTACTTGGACAGGATTCAGAGAGTCACAGCAAAGTCCTGCTTCTTGCTCAGACCTCACTTATAAGAAGAAATTGAGAGAAAAATACATCTGTTTATTTGTTTTGATGCACAAAAGTATAAAACATGATCAGAGAGATATTTTTACCTTTTAACAAGCAGTTTTCATTACTGTTACCAAATGCCTACATTTCATAAACCTGAGCTTTTCAGCCTAATATTTATAGAAAATTGCCAAGTATAATTTTTAGATAAAAGCACAATGCAATATTTATGAATTGCTAGTTTTCTATAAATATAGACATTTGGAGACTATCTTCTCACTAGTCATTAAAATTGAAGAAGGATCAAAGCTAGAATAATATTAGCAATCCCTTGCATTTGTACAGTGTCTTCTATTTTATTAATAATAGATGGTATTTATTGAACACTTAGCAAGTGCCAGACACATTACACATAAAATCTCCTAAAGAATTCAGTTCGATCCAAAAAGTATTTGCTTACCACCTACTCTGTGACAGATGACTAATACTTGGTTTCTATCTTTAAAGCTCTCATTATGGTGGACTAAATAAATGTTGGTTGGATGAATAAATAAGAAGTTGGGGGCAGTATCAAAAAGGTTAAAAGGCAGTTAGGCAATATAGAAATATCATAGGTTCCTCCCTTTAGTTTTTAGTATATTGAAAAAATACTTAATTTTTCCTTGCCTCAAATTTTTCATCTGTACTATACTGATATTTAAAATCTCCCTTGAAGAACTGTGATTGTAGTAACCACAGAAGTAAAGCATTTGCCAAAGCATGTACTGTTGTTGTTCTCCTCCTCCTCCCCCCCTTCTCTTCTCCCCACCCCTCCTTTTTCATGGAGCTAATTCTAACGTATATTAGCAAATACATTCTGCTGATATTTTCTAATATTCCAACTCCTCCCCTCATCAGTATAGTGATAGAAGAAATCAAACTTTAACATCCATGAAGATTCAACCTCTATACAAAGCGACCAAAAAAGTAGAAAAAAAGCATAGAAAATTATCCATGTGTGTCCTACCTTTTAACATTGTCATCTACAAATGTGTTTGGCTACATTTACAGCTATTCTGGGATGCATGTGCCCCATTGGGCTAAACTATAGTTCCTAATGTCTTCCTAGTATTATACTTAATCTGTACTTAAACTTGACCAGAGGAAGAGGATGAGGTGGAAGAGAACCAGTTTCAAGTATATTTCCAAAGATACCATGATAAAAGGAAAACAGGACAAAAATTTTACCAAATATGTCTGTAACTTCTCTCACAATAGAATTTTGGTTATACTAAGCAGAAGACTGTGTTTCCAACATTCCAAAACAATATGTACAGCTCAGATAATAGGCATCTAGAGAGTCATCCTTTTCATATTTTTCTATTACAGGGAGGTGGTAGACGGCTAAGAAGCATCTTAAAAGGTGTTCAACATCGTTAGTAATTGGGGAAATGCAAATTAAAACCACTTTAATATTTCATCCTACCCCAGTCAGACTGGCTAAGATCAAAAGAACAAATGATACCAAATGTGGAAGAGCAATGTGGGGGAAAAAGGAATGCTTATCCACTGCTGGCGGGGCTGCAAACTAGTTCAACCCCTGTGAAAAGTAGTGTGAGGAACTCTTAAAAAAAACTACAAATGAACCTACCATTTGACCCAGTTATACCACTCCTTGGCATATACCCAAAGAACTCATCCTTCTGCAGAGACATTAGTACATCCATGTTTGTTGCTGCTCTTTCCACAATAGCTAAGAGATGGAAGCGATCTAAGTGTCCCTCAATTGATGAGTGGATAATGAAATTGTGGTTCATTTATACAACAGAGTTTTACTCAGCAGTAAAGAAAGATGAAACCATGAAATTTGCAGGTAAATGGATGGAACTAGAAACTGTTATACTAAGTGAAGTAACACAGACTCAGAAAAAAAAAAAAACCCCAAAAAGCAAAAACAACATATGTTCTCCCTCATATATGGATCGTAGAACCAAACCCTGATGAGCGAGTATGTATCCAGACATTACTACAGGAACCAGGAAAATGGAAAGGAACCAGGGAAGTAAAGGAAAAGAAAGAATCCAAAAGAGAAGAACAGTAGGAAACAAGTGTTAATAAAGGAGATATGGATAAAAATTGGGTTAGTTTAAGTGAGGGGGGAGGGAGGTTTGTACAAGGAACCCTGGATAAAGGGAAAGAAGGAGCTCAAGAGAGGTAGGACCATAGGAGATGGGTATTATTAAGGGAGAAATGGGAAAAATGGGGGCACCTTAATTGGGGAAACCATGATGGAAGGGTTAGACAATGTGAGAGATAAGTAATGCCTAGCTAGTTTTGAAAACCAGAGGCAACCATATTAGTCCAACAACCTACTGACAAATTATACATACTGGATCCAGAAATATATGTCTAGGAAGGTTTATCTGAGAACAATTGGACTTTGCTCAAGCTTTATCTACATGGCACATGGTAATTAAAAGTTCCAGTCTGGTGGAACTAACATTCTTGGATGTTTAATAGACATACTTTGAAGCCTATACTAATTTAGACAGAAGGACATAAAGGACAGGTTTTGCTCCTTGCCCTCCTAGGTTGACTAGTTCCAGGGGACTATAAGCATCTCTCAAAATGTCCTGTAACTGTGGTGAGTCACCTGTCCTCTTGATCAAGGAGGCTGAGGAGACCCCACCAGATGGATTTGAACCATTGTCCAGTCTACAAAGAGGAGGGTCCACATAGTAGACTCATTTCCTCCATGCTTCCAAGTGAAGCTGGTCATGATCGAGCAGGACCTTTGACTTATCCTCACATAGGTGGAACTGGTAAAAGAAAGGAGCCAGGGGCTCCTCCCAAGCCCATGTGACCCCTGAGGAACAGATCCTCAAACAACCTTAAGAGTGAAAATAAATTGGTTTATCTGGGCCAACTGTATGGCCTTAAACACCCAAATGGAAAGTATAACCAAAGATTAAAGGGGCCAATATAATTTTTCAAGTGTCCATATGTATAACTAAATGTTACCTAACAAGAAACAATGCCAGACAGGAGATACCTTCTTTTCAGTTATTGACCAGGGTGGCCCAAGATACTCCCAGATAGTAACCCAGCATAAAATTAGGAAAATGAACAGCAGACCCCAATCTTATCTAAAGGAATATTGGCAACTGCTTGCTTCTAGATGAGAAACAGCTGACCTTACTAAAAAAAAGACCTCTAGATAGGCTGACTAAATTCACTGGATGGACAAGTGCTGGGGAACGGCTGAGGGTGCTGACAACACAGCAGACAGTAGCAGGGAAGACAGTGTAAAAAGACTTTAGTCGGGGGAAGGAGGCTATGGGAGGGTGCCATCTGGGAAGTGGGTGTATAGATGAATAAGATGGTTTGGGATGTTCTGTGTGATATACACACACGAAAAATAAATCAACAAACTTAAAAAATAAGTTATATTTGAGGAGGAAGCATAAAAATTTACACCATGTTAATTAATAGAGGTGATAAACATTACCATTGAAATCTACCCAATGACTTTCTATCCATACACAGGTGCCAAGGAGCCGAGTGCAACCGACTCTGCCCAGAAATAATCAGATACATACAGATTAGAGACACATGCGCCAACATCTAAGTGTTATTAGCAAAAACAATGAATCTTTCTGTAAGAAACAGTATATTTTAAAATGAAATGGAGATCTTTTTTAAAGGTTAAAAACTCAATTCAATT